GCGAGTTATAGTGTTTGTGGACTGTGCATATGAAATTGAGTTGAGAATGTGGGACGAAAAAAAGTTTAGACGAGAACACCGGAATGAGAGAAATAATGGAAAAGAGTTTAAAATGTTCCAATGCGTAGCGCACACACAATGTACCCCAAAAAACACAGTGTCACAAAGCGATATGCTAACCAAGATTCATCATCGCGATACTACTTTGAAAGTCTGCGCCGGAAAAAAATAAGATTAATCTTCACAATTTCCCTTATATTCTTCATCTGACTCTCTCCTTCTCACACTCTCTCTCCCCTCAGTTCACTCGATTACTCGGTTCTTTTTCGAGAGAGAGAAAAAAAAATTGAGAGGAAAAAGCGATGGGGAAAAGTGGATTTTTTTTTTCAACAGACGCACCATCAGACACTTGCCACTCAAAAACTGTCTGAGAGAGCGTCTCACTTTCATGTTTGGTAAAGTTTTTAAGCACCACACGCGCGCATCCGCTCACCATTTAAACTGTTTTCATATTGAAATTTTATTGGGAAAACTTTGGCTTAAGACATTCGATTAAGGATTCATTTTTTTCGTTGTGGCCAAGCGAACGGTAATAAATTATTCGACAAAAATTGTCGCGCTTAACGGGGAAGAAAAAACCGGTGGCGGGTTATTTGTATGCGATTTTCAGCTGATTAAATTTAAAAATTGATAAGTCAGCGCGCTGTGTGAAAGTTGGGAAAGCAGCAGAAAAAAATATGAGCCAGCACAAATTGCAATGATGCAAGCGAACGAAGACGGATAAGAATGGGGAGAAGAGAGGGAGAGAGATAAGTTGGACAGATTTATGCTTTGAAATGAATTTGGCGATAACAATGAAAGTTTTTCGCGAATGCGCTATGTGTAGTCAAGTGTAAGATGCGGCGGCGGCGGTGGTGGTGGTGGTGGTGACGACGACAGACAGCACAGCAGCAATGGCGTTGCATCGCAGGAAATAGTAAAAATCATAATCATCGTAATAAGAAAATAGATGTGACAATAATAATGCTTTTTGTTTGGTGTGACTATAAAAACTTTGAGTAACTGCAATCGCAATGGTATATACAGTTGGATTTCAAGACGAAACTCTATCAAGAGAACGCAGCGAACGACTCACATGATGCGTGGCCACTAATTGTAGCAAAACGAAATACTCTGGCAAAATGATCCGATTGAATTTCGCCGGGAATGCTACAAATAAATATTGTCGAAGGGATTTTTCTTGTAATCCATTGAGAAGATTTGGGGAAGCGTATCGAATGAAATGAACAGCAAAAAATGACAAACTGAACAAAACGAGTACCCGGAAATATGGTCTGGAATTGTATATGTGTGTATGTGAGTCAGTGTATCAGTAAAAATCAAACAAAGAATGTGATACATCATCATCATTGGTAAATGAATCGATGAAGATACACATCCATTGCTGGTCCTAGTTTTTCCTTCTCCATTTCATTCTTTTCATTTGAAAGCGAAGAGATATGTGATTGAATTCAATATTTTCCGTTCGGACGAAAATCAAGATCGAATCGAAAAATATGAATCGAGTAATACAGTTGACCAAATTATAATCACGATTTTAAAATAAAATTTCTGTATATGGAGCAAAAGGCAATAGCATGAAATGCTCGTTACTCGAACGGTCGATGATATTGTTGCCTGTAAAGCGATGGGGTATGCTTTATCGAATCGTACAACAGAAATAGAATTCCATTCAAAGCGTCACACACAAAAACGTGAGTGCTTCAATTAATTCCGAGTAAATAATAACCAAAGAGCTTACCGAGAAAAAAACCAAGATATCATCGTTTGTCCGGGAATGCTATGGAATTTCATAGTTTTTCTTTGTAAATTCAATGCCATTGTGTCATTTCTCATGAATATAGATTCAATTTTGCCACAATGAACATTCTGTTGAGAGAGAGAGAGAGAGAGATAGAGCCTCAACTTGAGATTGAGCCTCCGTCTATTTGTGTACTTTGTCGTTTTTGGGTTTGGCGCACTCTACTCAAGCCCGTCTCTCAGTTGATCAAACGAACGACCATTCTTACGACTCTCCGTTACATCTGGAATTGAATTGTGTCATACAACATCGAAATGAACCGAAGTGAAAGCAATTTCTCGCTGCACGAACCACCGAAACGAGCCAAGAAATACACGATAAAGATACAACAATTGAACCAGATGACCATAAAGTCATCAATATCGTTTACGTGGAGATTTTTTACGGCACTTTATTTCGATTTATTCTCCTATTGTTAGATTTAAAAATTTAATTTATGGCCCAGTTTTGCCCATACCGTGCATTTCTTATTCGATTTCATGTGCTACCGTTTTAAAATTGAATCTACACAGTCATATTGTATCTTTATACCGTATAATAAATGACGAAATTATATGTTCGACTTAATTTGCGTTCCAAATGAATAACAGTTGGATCTGTGTTGGTGGGGGGAGGGCTAAAAGAGAATTCTCATTACACCGTTTGTATGCTGCGTTGGCATTAATATCGGCAAAAATCGATCTCGTCGTTTACTTAATGGCATTCCATCTGTTCATTCGAGCAAGCAGCCTCTGACCAAGTGCTACTCGAATGTACTTTTCAACTTGAAACGAAACGATGAGTAAATCATAAAGTCTGTTTGAGATTCGTTTTGCACCTGGAATATTGCTTACACATACAAAGCTCAAGTGCTTGACTCTTTTTAACAAGTAAGCTGTTTGCCGTCGACACCGCCTTTCCTGCACAAAACTTTCTGAAAGTAATAAAAGTCGTTAAATGGACTGTTTTCGCGGCGAATGCACTTTATCGATTTCACATTCACTCTCTCCAATTAATTTGAAAACTGTGTTAAGAAGGCGATACGAAAGATAGTTTGCTTTTGTGCTGATCATACTTAAACAACTTCATTGGTTATTGGAATAAACAAAACTTTTTTCAAGCAAATTTATTTAAACTAAATTAAGTTGATGGTCATCGTTTTTTTTATATTGAAGGTAGCTTGATTAAATTAAATTAAAAAATAAATTTATTTTTAGTCAAAAATCATGAGAATCAAACCTCAATCAAAAACCCACATTATATTCAGCCAGAGCTTGGCGGTGTTTATTAAAATAAAAATAAAAATAGAATATTTGCTGAGTTATTTCCAATTTTAATTTTATCAATCCTCACGATTGGGTTTGTAATACATTTCTCTTTCTTTCTTCCCCTACTGCTCGCTGAAGACCGAGTAGTTGAATTCTATTTATATCTTCGAATTTGACACTGACTTTGAGTTCGTATTTGAACAGGAATAGGAAGGAATAATTAAAATCGTCGACCAAACTTTTCATTTGCAAGTTTTGTTTGCGTATCGCAATTGATATCATTTCAGAATTTTATTCCGTTGACTTGGTTTAAATCGATATTTATCTTTATTTAAAGTCATTATGATTACTGTCTGGTGTTCGTTGCGCTTTTTCTTCTTTCCTCTTCATTCTCTTCCCCGATGCACGCACACACACACATACAACGGATGGTGTTGTGTTTTCCCGTTTGCAAATGCAAACCAAACGTGTGATTTGAGTGCTTGAAAACTTTACCAAGTGCAATTCGGTTGGTATCAGACTGTGTTACAAAAGTAAAACAAATCTTCGGTGCAGCCAAACTTCAGGATATGAAGTTGAGAGAATTTATTTGTTGAGCGACGAGAAGAAATTGCTTTGACGAGAACACAGGAGTAGCATCAGCAACACAGTGGCATCAAATTAAAATGGAAAATTTAATATTGAAAAAAAGGAGTACTTGGCCAAAAACGAAAGAGAAGATAAGGATTGTCATCGTAATGGCACCGTTTTCGCTCTCACTTGTAATATGCTCTCAACTTAAGTGCAATGAAACTGAATGAGTTACGATGGAAATACAAGAGAAATGAAACGAAACACAAAAAAAAATTATGAAACAAATTATTTATCTTCAACTCCCTGCGAAGAAAAAAAAACCGAAAATAAAACAATAAAAGGAGATAATAGACAGACTATTGTCAAACTATCACATGCATATACAGCGAAAGCGAAAACTGCATCCAAAGAAGAAGTTTTGATAAAGGAGATTGTTAAAAACCGTATAGATAACCAAACATAGCGTATACGAATTTTCGCGTGTGCAATGTCGACAGGCACCGTGTTCAAAATGAACGATATCCTTTCGATCTCTCTTCGTCGCCCGCTCTCTGTCTCTCTGATAACAGCATACACACGGCCAAGCGAAGAGAGCAGAAAAAATTCCGTAAGCGAAAACACTGAAGCATACATTTATTATATCGACACCCAAGAACAAGAGCCATCTGAGCACGAAGAATTGAAATTCTTTATCGCTCGCCAGAATGAAAAATGAACAGTGAAGGAAACCAATGCACACACTTCGTTCCTTCAGCCACGCCAACGTACAAAACGCACAAATATTGGAGACATAGTGAAGAAGAAGGGCGAACAAGAAACAGAAAAAGAAGACATGAATTATATGCGAAAAGTTTTTTTTTTCTTGCTTCTTCATCCAAACCGATGCCACTTGGATGGAAGTTCGGAAGAACGCTTGCAGTGTCAGTGCAAACATTTTGTCACACACAAACACATTCACTCTATTTTTCCTTCATTAAATCTCGTCTTCGGTTCGCTTTAGGTTCTAGTGCAGGTAATAATGGCAGCTTGAGATAGACACAGATATGCACGAGGAATGCCATCAAATTCATTGAATAAAATTACTTGGGGAAAAAAGTTTAATTGTTCAACGGAAGCTTTTCAAAGTAAATAGATATCCGGTTCCGCGTTGCACTTTTTTCGCCAAGTGCACGTCAACTCCTTGCGACAAAAGATAGACGAACACACACACACACATACAACGTTATACGATCACTGTTATCATATAAACATTTCGTGAACACCTTCTTGCACTTCAAAAACGGAATAATCAAAATACGAAAAATAATCGAAAAAAATACCTTTCGTTTCTTGTTCGTGAGGGGATTGCTGTTGAATTATTGAGTTGAATTCACGTTTCACATTTAATCAGTATCAAATTTTAATACGGTTCTTAAACACGCGAATGGATCTTGACACAGTTTCAAAATGCGCTCACACCAGAAAAACACCACGCTGTTTATTTAACTTGACAGTCACTCGAAAAAAAATATATTGACGAAATTGGCATTCTATCGCTTCAATCTCTTTCAACAAATGTCAATTGTGTTTATTTTCGTATGCACTCAGGGGATTTATTTGAAATCTTTTTATACACTCTCTTTTTTTTGCTTCATCTCAAATGATCACGTTTTTTCCATTTTTTTCTCTCTCGAATTTATGAAGTTGTACGCGATTTCGTTATCATTCATTTATAGACACAAATTCTATTTTTATGCACCGGTTTTAATTTCAAACTTGAGCCATTTGATCACCAAAGAAGAATATTGTTCATGCTTGAACATTTTCAGTTGATTTACGACGAACTTCCACATCGAGGATACACACAACACCGACCTGAGTTGGAGTATTACTATCCACCAAAAGAATTCAGTGAGCAACACACTGTCAGAGCTTGTCACTAAACCAAACTGCACCGACACCAATTCAGTTTGTAACTGAATCGCTTGTTTGCGAAGTGCCGACACATTACCCTTATCGTCGACGACGACGCTCAAACACAACATCTGCTCTACTCACTGACACGGCTCTCATTCTCTAGCTCTCTGCTTCGCTATGTTTTGAACGCATTTTCATTCAAAAGCGTTAGAACATTGCCGAACGCATCCGATCCGTTGTACGAGTGCGATATGTATGAGAGAGATGCGGACGGATTCAACAGTCGAAAATATGGATAGAGAAACATAAACAATGTGCACATTGCACACGATTGACTCACTTAGCGAGAGTGTACAAGACACTCAATTCAACATGCTTTGTGGTGGAGTGCTTTTTTTGTTAAATGAATGAGAGAGACCAAGTGAGACACGATGAGTGAAAATCTCGTTTGTGGCATAAGCATAGCATTATGGGAAAAAACTGACGCATTTATCGTTCATTATTTCTATAGTGGACTGCATTTTGAGTGAAAGCTTTTTCCTTTACTATGCCCATTGAGTGGAATTCCGATTTGAATGCATGTTCGCCGTAGCGTAAATCGTCGTCGTTGAGGCAATGTCGACGATGATGACAACGGCTTTATCATATCGGCCATCGCAATTTACACATGTATATTCAATCCTAATTTCAATTTATTTCAATGCAATGAGAAAAACATTCATGCCAAGCCAGTCTTGAGCATTTTGTTCAATTAAGAAGTTGCTTTTAAGTTTTGATGACAACAATTAAATATCTCTTGAAGAGAGTGAATTAATTAGGTCATTATGGAAATATGAATTTTCCATCTTCAATATTCACTCGTTCGCTCACTTGCTGTGCCGAGAACAGCAAGAAGCGAGACATGACAATTCCATCGCTTCGTTCGTTCGCTTTTGCAACAGCAGCAGCGGCAGCATTCAGTTGCTATTATTTTTACTGCTGCCGCCGCCACTGCTGCTGCTGCAGTCGGCATCTCAGCATCAACACAATACACATTTACATCTCATCGTCAGATTGTGTCAGTCTTTTGTGCGGTAGCGCATGATGGCATCTGAAACTGAAAACAAAATATGTCGTGTATGTATGTTGGCGGTGACTTTAAGTCATTCCAATTTTGAAACCATTTTCGGCCGTATTCATGCCTCAAACGATGCAACGCTTTTCTCGAGTGCTGAGAGATGGAGATGGAGATGGGAATTGAGTGCGAAAGAGAGACGAAGAGCGAGAGTGAGAGAGGATGAAAGACAAAGAGGGAAGAGACCTAGAGAGATAGCAAAAAAAAAATACCGTTGGAATTTCATTGAAACGGGCTAATAAAAAAAGAAACAAGACGACAAAGTTGGGTAAGAGTCATGCCAACATTGTGTACATTAGCAGTGAAATTGCTTTTGTCATGCGGAATATGATTGCCTGAGAATGTGGCTTGTATCAAAAACCGCATACAACGATTACCACATTATAAACCAAAGTTCACTCTCCACAAAGTACTTTCTCACTTTAAACAAGAATTTGCGTTTTTGGGGCAAAATTTTCGGCGATATGGCAAGATGACAAACACCGCAGCACACACAATTGCGAATTGTGTTTGCAAGTGAACTGCAAAAGATTGGCCAAAATTGGCGAATGTCGTGGGGGACAGAAACAAAACCACAAGATGGTTTCAAATACATCTTTAGATAAGATATCGACAACGGAAGAGCATAAACATAGCCACAATGTCAAAGTCATCGAAATGCTTAGGCCTCAAACGATTTTCGTGCAAATTTCACTACATTTTTTGGTTTTGGAATGGATTATAAAATTGCCAACAAATTTATCGCCAAAGACAAGCCCGTTCATTCTGAATCTCTCCCAAAGACTGTCAACGAAAAATGATACAATTTGTAAATCTTGGAAACATTTCATAACACTACTTTCCATTTTCGCCACTTGAGCATGAAGATTGTGTAAAAGTTTTCAAATATATTCGTACTACTTTTTTTGCGTTTCATTTCGAAATTCTCTCCCCCGTCTCAAGCTGCGGCAAGAGCTGGAAAAAGTTTATTAGCTAACTTGATTAACAAAATGTGTTAATATCATGTGTAAAATTAAAAGTAATTTGTGATTGAATCGAAGGATCGCATCTCATCATCTTCGAGTGGATTTGCTAATTCTGTGACTGTGAGTCGTCGTCGGGTGGCAAGCAGCGGTAGTTTCAACTATTAAATTCAATTTAAAAGCAAGGCAATAGTTATTAATGCCATTGTTCGTCTTTGGTGTTGTTGTTTCAGATGTTGAAAAACTTTTGCCGGCGCAATCAAATTCGATGCGTGGATACGGAACAACGGGGAGCGTTGGGAATGCGGGATGAAACACATTCAGGAAAATTCCATTAAAGCCTAAATCAAAAGTTTTATTGGTTGATGTAAAGATATACAAGAGAATTTATTTTCATAGTTGCATTATGTTTCAACTTTCTATATGGACAAATATTTTCCCTCCGTTTTCTGGATGCGGCGCGCATTCTTCGAGTTTGTGTGACCGTGCGTACAGAGATTTGTGGCAGAGAGACGATGAGCATGAGCCGATTTGTAAGCCGAAGAATAGCATGGAGAACGATTGTGAGAGAGAGAGAGAGAGAGAGAGAGAGAGAGAGAGCGGGAGGGAAAGAGAATGGCATGGAGAGTAAATACTGAACACGTATTAAGGCAAAATGCATATTGTCGTCGTCGTCGGATGAGGAAAAGTCGGTAATAACAAGCATGCAGTAAAATTCAAACAGTTTGAATTGAATTAAATGTAAAAGTTCTCTATCTGAAGCAGCATATCTAATCGAAGAATAAATTCTTTGTTAAATGCATTCGAAGAGGAAGGCATATTTCAAACTCATGTGACATTGCTTTCTTTGATAATATCCCTTAATTTAACCAATTATATCAATTATACATATATACACCCAAAATAAGCGAGCAACTATATCAATATCGTGTGTGTTAGTTTTAGCTAAAACTATGGCCAAGCAAATATCGTTTAGTTGTGCAAAGTTCAGGGTTAAGGAATGTTCGTTGAGATTCCGGCGGAAATCCTTATATATAAAACTCACTGCTTGCAGACACTGGTACACACACATACACCGAGCAAGAGATGTTAAATGTACAGTGTGTAATGTGGTATTATGGTATTCAAGTTTTTTGGAGCGCATTTATCAATGCGAGAATGAGGCCGAATGATTCATGTCTCAGTTTAGCCTCCGAACATCGGCTATAGCGCATTTAAGTGCCTTTGTAAATCAGTTTAAACAAAACGAGTTTTTTTTCTGTCCATTTTGAGTTGAACGAAGACAAGACTTTTTTCCGTTCGTTCTTTTGTCGTGTCCATCACTGTTCTGAGCTAATTCGTGATGCATTGAGACAGTTGGGCTTTTGTTTGTATGTATTTCCATATCATTTTTCTTCTATCCGGCTCTCACTCTCTCATCGCCACTTAATCTTTACGTTCCTATGTTGATTGCTCCAAGATCGCTTAATAAACGAAGAAAAACGACAAGCAGCCCTCTAGGGGAGGGACATTCATAACAGTCATCGTACATATATTGAGCGGGCACTATCGATGCGTTCATTTGTGTGAGTGCGATTGTGTAAACGACAATGTTCGTGTTCAATCAAGCACCGGTTCGGACATAGAAATATGTTTACCTAGATGTTCTATACTGTATAAATATGCAAAGCATAGACGCGTACGGACGACCGTGCGACAAACGTATCAACGGGCGATCGTGCATTGGGAGACGCACGCGTCTATGCTTTGCATATTTATCTTGCATATTTCTATATCCGAACCGATGCTTGTGTTCAATATGTGTTCGATGACAGCTTTGGGCATTCCACGCATAGAGGCGTCTTGGCGTCTTACGTCAAACCTTTCCCATCTATTTGTATACGAAAAAAGCGACCTTGGTTGCTCACTCCATCTTCACGTTGCTCACTCTCCATTCGCGAGAAGAAGTGTATCGAATAAGCGATCCATTTCATTTTCAGTTGAACGAAGAAATGTAATATTTAAAAAAAAAATGTAAATTACTTCAGCAACAATTGGTATCATCGCATCTCTTGGTTCGCCCTAATTTAATATTGTTCCACTTCCTTTTATGTATGCGTATGTCACTTGTTTTTGTGTCATTGTTGTCGCTCCGTATATGCCATCTTCCACTTCTATTTTTCTCTCTCTCAATCTATTTTAGTCTGCCAGTTCTCTCACTATCTCCATCCTCTTGCCGCTCACTTTGCTCGCCTATATTCCACGTATAAAACCCAATGAAACTTCGGCTATAAAAATTTTGCGGAAAAATGAGTACGCAAATAGTTTGTCCTTCTTTTCATTTGTGATTCACTTGTTCGCAACACACAGAATCTTCTACACAAAAGTTGTGGTACATGCATTGCGTGCGGTTGTCGTCGTCGTCATTGGATATATAATTCTGTTATAGCCGACTTAGCGCCCGTACCATCTTGTCAACAAAACATTATAAATTAACTGAAGAAAACGTGATCTGTTTGATTACGATTGTGAATGTATATAAATATATGGTTTAATAACAACAATATTTCCCAAGCGAAGAATATTTTCCGAAAAGAAATCTTGACTTTTTATACAACGTTTCTTTTCGTCTTTTTTGTTTGATTGTTCGTTCGTTCGTCCGTCGCCGCTCCCTCCGACAAAGATTTTCCTGCATAAGTTTTCTTTTCGGTTACATTCTATTGTAATGACAGCCCAAGAAATTCTTCTCACTTCTTTGGATTTGCATAATTTGATTGACAAGTCCACAAAAATCAGGCGAATTACGCTTTCACTCCCCCACAAATCGTACAGAAAATAAACGGAAATGTTACGTGAAGTATCTTAACAAATTTTTTAAGAACATTTCTTTATTAGATCATTTGAAGAGAGAGAGAGAGAGGGAGAAACGTTGTAAAGTCCCTTTGGGTAATGATAAAAGAATCACAGCAAATCAGTGTGATGAACTGAAGAGGTCATCTGTGAAATGACACGATCCTTCTTCGTACTGAGGCTATTCAAGCTCAACAAGGGACTTGAAATGAGCCATCAACATGACCAACAACA